ACTGCAACATGGGAGTAAAAACAGTTAGACATTAGCAAGGACTGAAGAAGAAAAACTGTCAACAAATGTAATTTTGCTCAATCTACATAGGCACCAAATGGTAACATGAAACTAGAATCTGACTAAAGGATAATTCACAAAACCCTTGTTCCATTATTATGCTACTTCAAAATTGCACATTAACCACAATACTCTATCAAACTGAAAAGTACTTTTTACAGAAGATCCTGGAGAACCTGTGATGAATACACTTTTTGTATTCTTGCAAAGGGTTCATTTTCATAAGAGATCCCAATTAAGTCAAGCGTAGCTTTTTAAATAAAAAAACAGCTTGATGACCTAGTTTCACTTTATAAATGGTATTTCTTGACAGATCATAACATAACTTGTTTCATCTGATTTTGCATAATTCTCATGAAATATAGTTGAATCCCACTTAGACTAGAATTTTAATAAAAGGAAAAAAGTTAGTTCTGTAATAGACAAATTCTTGTGTAAAAGAAGTAATTATTTCATATTACTATCTTTTATTGCAATATTGCCTATAAGACAGCCAGGATAAACATCAGTTTGTTTTGAGGCTGCATTAAATAGCGTAGAGTAAATAATCCCGTTAATGAACAAATACAAAAAGAAATGGCTTGCAATAAAACCAGTAATATCTGATCTAAAGCATTTGTGCTCTATATTCTCTAGGTTCTCTCTATTAAGAAAAAAATTAGAATCAAATTCATATCAAATTCAGACCACTTATTCGAGTAACCCCAGAAAAGGCAATGAGATTGATTGAACAGTGGAGTAGTTTGTCCATACCCCAAGCACAGTTTCTATGCATTTCCTACTCAATATAATTGTTTATCAGTGAGAACGCAGTGCACTGAGGCCAATATATGGCTCTGACATTGCTTTATTGTACACCTTTATTTTCTATTGCTCCAAGCATCTTTATACAGCATTGCTCAAAAAAAACTAAAATTCCCGTTCATTTTCTTTTCTCATTATGAGACTTGGCCTCCAAAATCTGTAGACAACTTTTTAAAGCTTAATTTTAAAATGTTCTTTGATTGCAATGAAATACATCTTTCTTGCTAATTAATACTTACCTTCTTCCTAACCAGACCTTGGTTAGATTTTGCATTTTATGTAAAAAACAAACAAACAAACAAACAGAAACCCACAAAACCAACCCCAAAACAGTCAAGTACTCTAAGGGCATAAGAAGCAGCAATCCCCAGTAGAATTCATTTTCTTACAAGGCTAACTTCTTAAATGAGGTGAATCTCAATGAGGAAACCAATGCTTGCAAAAGCCTAATTTCCAAATCATTTCACTAAGCTTATAAAAATTTAAAGAGCTGCCAACTAGAACACTATCTTAAGAACAGATGATATGACTGGAGCTTTCCAGTCTTTCTTTAGATAATTTGCCTCTACCTATTCTGAATTTAAAAAAAAAGCTATGAGAGGTTTAATACTATGAAGTCCTATTATGCATCTCTCACAGTTTCAACTGGCCACCCATCACCAGTCTTAATGAAGAGTATTTAAAACACTCATCTACTAAAAACATTGAGGTCATCTTGTGGGTGACCAGATTTACAATTATTTCATGTAAATGTAAAGGTTCTGCTAAAAAGTGACTCTTTAATATGACAGTTTATATGCAAAAAAAGTTTCTACATGGGCATTTCAGAAAGTTTTAGACAAATCAAGTAATTTTTTTTTATTTCATTAATTATCATATTAATGATCTGAGATTTATGTATGCTAGCTCTTCAAACAGGTGATTTTTCTGCAGCTTAATCTTTACTCCTGAAAACTAGAGCCACTTACATATGGTTTTACCATACTTTAAGCACATTCACTTCTCACTTTTCCATCTCCTACGGAACAAGTGCTTAAAACATAATGCATTAAAAAAAAATTTTTTTCACTACTAAAGTAGCATTCAGGTGCTATAAGCTCAGAGCAATTTGTGTTAAAGACAAAAATGGTAGAAGTTACAACTAGATAATACAACGGCCAGAAATGTATTCAAATAAAGAAATTACAAGTCTAACCATGAGGGGAGTGAGGTTTTGAACAGTCTTCTAATAGGAACTGTGGGGAATTGAAAAAAATACCTCTGTTTTACAAAAAGGATTCAGTTGACTCTCTTGCTTCTGCCATACTGATACTACGGACTCTGTAACCCTGGGTATTATTGTAAGGAGTACAGTACCAACTCATAGACATAAAACCTCATAAGAAGTTGCCTAGTTCTTGTTTGGGGGGGAAAAAGAGGATTAATCGATGATCCATTTTAAAAGCAATTTATATGAAGATGCCTGGCTGTACCCTGGGGTACAGATGTGCACAACAGACTGTTGCAAAGTGGGCCCTTGGTACACAGTGTTTTACTTCAGTCCAGTGTTCAGAGGACCTGACAACCCAACTGCTGTTTCAAGAAATGAAAAACCTGCATTTTAAAAATTATGGAACCATTACCCCATTATCCCCTTTTGTGTTCTGGAGGAATTCCACAAATGAGTAAAAAGCAGGTAAGATGGCAAACTCCAAGTCAAACAGCTCTGTTTGTATTACAGCAACTCCATACTCCCCCAGAATGCAGCGGACAGGCAAGAGCTCTCTGTGTGGATGGCTACAGCAGTAACCCCAGGATTTCTATGCTTAAAAGATCCAAGAGCTATGCAATAACTAATGGATCAGAGGCAAATCACCATCTAAATAAGGACTTCATCTGATTGTTCACAACATGAGGCTAATATTCCTTCCTGACAAATTCTGGAGGTTAGTTATTGTCCTGAAACTTGTTATTTTATTGTACTTACCATTTATAACAAGTGCTATTACTAGCCAAAAATTATCTAGCACTATACTAATGAACTACAAGTCCACCTGTAACAGAGAAATCCCATAGGCTGACTCAATCCACTGGGCCTAACTACTGCCAGGCTTTGAGATCAATTACCCAGCATTATGCAAGGCAGGGGCTGCAAAAGCCATTAGAGAAAGGCAATTTCTACATGAAGCGTAGTGAATTAGGGATGACATTTCAGCTCTTGCATTTGCCAGTTTATGTCAAGAAGATAACATTAATTAGATTAGGATTTTGTTTTGTTTCACTGCAGTTGTCTGTTCTGTGTTCACTTTTATTGGTAGTAGGAAGACAGACACTGGTGTTTTACAGATCTTTGATTTCCCTCTTGCCTATTCAGCAGGGATGTAAAAAAGCCTTTTTGGGTCTTAGACTGCTCAATCTTAGACTAATATATTACAGTGACAGACTGCTGGTGAGGGTGAGATGTGTGACAAAGTGGAAATTAAAGAAGCTCCATTTTCACATTTCCTACAATGACAACTACAATTAGTATTTAAAAATCATAATTTCTACTCCAAGGACTTGAGTCAAAGATCCTGAAGGTAAAAAGAAAGTTATTTACTTTTGTGTGCGCTGGATCTGTCCCTTGGTTATCATGAGGTAAACTAAATGTTAATTTCCTGCGCTGTTAATTCTGTCTACGGTTATCACTTCATGTGAGAGAACAGAGCACTGCAGCCAGCCCTGTCTGCATCTCATAATAAGTAGTCAGCTGCCTCTGACTTCTTATTATGTCCTTCAGCACACTTCTATTCGATTATTGCCTCACTGTATTTTCAGAAACTTGTTCAAGATGCCCACTGTGCAGATAGCTTCCCGCAATCCATTTCAGTAAGATTTGTGGTATGCTGAAACATGATGGAAAACTGGGAATTATTATTTTTTTACCCGATTAAAAATTTCACATGCAATGTGAAGTAAATAAAGTACCACCAATAAGCTATCCCTGGACATAAAATGCATACTACTTCTGTCAAGGTAAGAAACTGCCATCCAGTAGTGGATGCAAGCGTAAGATACCTATTCTGGAATGACACTAAGCATATTTCTATGACTTTTCCTTAGGAGAAGTGAAATTAGGTAAGACCTCCCCCCCCCCTCGACAGCAAAGGTATCAGGAAGAGAAAAAGATGTTATTGCTACACGTTCTTCTTTACAAAACACTCAACAGAAAGATTCTACTAAAAACTCTCATTGTCAAGCTAGTCACCATCTTTATCCTGCTTCCTAGTCCAGACATTGAAGATTTCACTCCTTTCCTTGTATACAGAGAAGGGAATTAAACTGAGTATATTCAGCAGCCAATCCTTAGAATACTATTACAATCGCTGGGCAGAACAGTAGACTATATGCATGCAGGCTACAAATTAAGTTTTCAGTTATATTTGGAAAAGACAACCCCCCCCAAAAAAACCCCCACAAACATATTAAGATTACTCCCTCCCTTCCCCTAATGCAAACTAAGATATCTTACCTGGTAGGCATCTAGCTGTTCATCAGTAAATATCGTTTGCTTATTACCCATCTTAAATGAGGAATTCTTCCTCTATGCAAATGCATCCCATTAGAAGTAGCTGGATTCCTCTGTATTGTAGGCATTTAGAGCACGTATACTCCGTGAATGTGCTGAAAAAATCCCAAAGCCTGCATTGAACTGATTTTGACTGTACCTGTCCAATGAGGAAGGACGTAGTATTGGGAAATCTTTGCAAAGGCTGGACTTGAGTGGGCCAGGAAGGAAAGCGTTAATATCACAGGCAGGTGTCGCGCAAAACCAGCGATGCCATTCTCCCCCTTTTTCAGATGCTTTTCTAAGAGGCATACAGAGCTTTTATAACGTAAAAAACGAGTAGCCAGTACTGGAAGAAATCAGCTCTCTGCTGCCCCGGTGTCTCACTCGCTTGTTCACTCCGCGACCTCAGGGCGCTCCTGCTCGGCACCTTCACGTTTTAGAGCAGCTTTGCGTCACCCAACGGCGCTCGGTAGCGCAGTCGTATTACACACACACACAGAGCAAGTCTAGTAACTAGAAAAATGAATTAGCAGAGTAAACGTTTCTGCAGCTGGTCTCCCCACAGATAAAAGTACATCCTAGTCAGCGCTTGGATCTGACCCGTACCATGCCGCCAATGTTAAATTCAGCTGGATGGGGGCTCGACGTGTTCAGAGCGTCCCCACAACGTCACCAGGTGCCGCGGGGGCTCCACAGTAAATGCTTATGTCCACACTGTGGATATAAGCAGCCCTGGCTACCAAGGATGCGAGTTCACTACCAGAGGTGCCAAACTCCCAGGTATACCAGTGAATGCAAGTATTCCCTCTCACATTAAATAAATAAACAACAAAAAAATCAGGAAGATTAAAGCAGTTTGAACAAACGTAACCTGACTCCTTCGGCTCGGGCAAGCACAGCTGGAAAGAAAAAAGTTACCCAGCCTAAAGCAAAGGTAGAAAGTACCACTAGAGGGCTCACAGTGTATTTTAAAGTAATACAACCCTATTTCCGGGAAAATTAAAAAAAGAAAATAAATAAAAGAGCATGTAAGAGTTGCATACAGACAAAATTAATAAACTCAAACAAAATTATATTATCTAACACTGCAGAAGGATAAGCTCTTATAATAACAGTAGGAAGAAGGCTGAGTGAGAAAGGGTGGGAACAGGGAGGAAAGACCTGTTACGAGTAAGTTTCCTTGGACTGCTCACTTCCCGTTTGTGCGCACAGAACGGGCGAGGGTTTATAAATATTTAATAAAATCCCTACCTTATTTACCTACAGCTCTGCCAATGGTCATTATTTCCTCAGCAAGTTAGCATGTTTAATAATGACGTTTAATAACACCTGGAGAACTATCTGGTGCTTTTTCCTACAGCTTCTAATGATCCTAACCTGGTAACAGCATTGGATAATAGGAGTTCAATTTATCTTGGCATATAACAACAAAGAACAAACATTTAACAATAATACTGAGAATAAATGTATTGTATACATAGTAAAAATACCCTATGAAGTGTGTTGGATATGTAGTAAAAACATTATATGAAGTGCTGAACTGCAGACTGTTCTAAGAGACGACTTATTTAGACTGTAACATTCAGAAATGCAGATTTGATTAACTGCAAACCAGCACTGCCTTGAGCCACAAAACCACAAGCTGTTACTATATATACAATATAAATGGCTTGGGATAAGAATGCATTCAACAAGGCTTATTAGCGATAAGCAAACATCAGAATTTTAACAGTGAAAGAAATGGATTCTACCAATAGAATATATTGCAGCACAGTTTCAAAATAAGGAAGAAGCTGCAATAATAATGACAATACAAGCTCTGAATGACCTGCCATCAGATCAAGAGTGCAGCAAGCGTCTAGTCAAACATCAGACAGTTGCATCGACTGTGTGTTACATGGCCAAACTGACCTCTGTTTTTTCTAGCCACTAGTGGTGTGGGTTTTTTTTCTTTTCCCGAAGGTACAGTGGCATTGGGTTCTTGTTATGTTCAAAAAGATTCTCCACAAGCAAGTCAGAACGTAAAGAAGAAAAAACCCCAAACCTGCAAAATACAGTCTTTCTATTTATTAAAAGTGCTCTTCTAACACACTTTCTTTGAATCAGAAAACAACGATCCATAAGGACCCCTTAAGAACTTTCACAGTTCTGAAAGTTCTTACACATCCTCAACTCTGAATGAGCTTCATCATTGGCTTTAGTGGTTATGCATATAATTAAGCATGTTTCATATCTATGATCTGGTGCTACTGAAATGCCAGAGCTAGCAGCTGTTCTGACTCAGGCCAGACCAATACATAGTCAAGTGATTTGCATGAAATGGCACTCCTTTCATAGCCACCTAATTCAAGCTGCCTGTCTATGCAAATCAGATGAAATATAAATGGCCAAATTATCTTTAATGTCATTATACAGAGGTGAATTGACACCAGGGGTGCATTGGGCTCCATTTCTTTTAATCTTGTGATGCTGTATACTTAACAGTATTACTACAGTGAAAAGACTAACATCTCAGTTCTTCATTTTTTACCTGCTTTTAACTTCCTGGCTGCTTGGTCCCACTGTATCCTAGATGACACACATATCAGCTAGTCTCTATTTTTAGAATCAAAATAATAACAATAAAAACCAGAAGGGCTAAGTGGAAACCACCAACCAGATAAGACCTACTTGTGGTTACAAAGTAGGCCAGAGGTAGAGTCCTTGAGGTTCACAGACATATTCCTGTTTATGCCTTTGGGCCTGGCTTTCCACTCTGCCCCCTCCACTTTCCTCTTGCGTATTAGAAATGCTTTGGTTTCATGCTAATGTAGAGAAATTATGTAGGAAAACTGGTATGGCTAAAAGAGTTGACTGCTTTCAAAGAGTTAGAAGTTCTTGCTTTAAAAGAAAGACTCAACTTACCAAGGGGACAGCACTCACTGAGTATATGGGCAGAAAATAAACTGTTTCTTCAATTCTTCTTTCCATACTCTGAAGAGTATTCTCAATTATTAAATAAAATTAAAATGCACAGATTTTTAAAAAGAGGATTCAAACACTGATTGTTGAGGGTTCCACTATACTAGCTAGTTCTTCTCAAGCATGCTACAGTGGTACCTATGTTTCACTGCATAATTATCTTGCTATACTAACTGGGTAAAATTTAAAGATGATATAATGCACAAACTCTTCTTGACTCCTTCTATTTGTTTGTATGTATCAAAGATCAGATAATTTTCCAGTTTGCTCTTTTTCACTACTTATATCTGTTTGTATTTATCAAATATTAGTTTAATTTGCCAGTTGGGTGTTAAGCAATACTTACTCCTAGCATAAATTACTGCAACAAATCAATACTTTTCTATGTACACAGCAAGATCTGACCTTAATGTTATCAGTACCAGCCTTTCATCACACGTTACTGTATTTCAATTGCTCTAAACTGTTTGCCAAAGCATGTGATTTTAAGCAATTTAGCAACACATAGCACATATCTTGCAATCAGTTGCAAATAAAGCTTACTAAGTAGTATAAGTATATATACAATAGTCTTGACGTTACACCAGCCATTATACCAGAGAACATGGTTCAGTAGCCACTGTTCATCTGCTTTAAAAGTTTAATTCATGGAGTAGAAAATATACTATCAACCATGTACACCAGATTTAACATTTTATAGCAAGATGGCTGTCCGCTGCAATAGCTTAACACCCACCAAAGGCTGCAATCTGACCCCAGCTGCAGGGACGTGTTTCCACAGCCAGAGCTCAGGGAGTGGGCCAAATCATGCTAGCACTCCTGAGCGCCTTCAGTGCAAAGGCGCTCTGCTGCTCTGAACTGTTGCTAGCCATGGCTGCTACACCAGGTGACTTTGCTGATTCATTAGTAGATGTGTAAGTTTAATAACCTCCAACAGACAGGTCATACTACCTTAAATTGCCTCTGTAAATTATGCAGTGAGAATCTGACTGTGGTTGAAGTATGAAAGCTCTTATTCCTCATCAAAGGAAGATCAAGAGACTATGAACAGAGATCACTTTACCTGTTAACAAGCAGATCCACACAGAGTTTTAACAATCTAGTTGCATATCTACTGCCTTCACTGCTCAAGTTGGTTTGCTACAACTTTGAGTTTTCATATTTAGACATAATCAAAAGTTATCCTTTTAATTGGGGAGGAAAGAATCTGCAAGATTTCATGCCCATTACACCAAATATTCAAACAATTTCTCTCCCACACAGATGTTTCCTTGCAGATTAGCTCTTCATAAAGACTCAGTCTATTAGCAAAAAGAACAGTTTTGACCTAGAAGGGCTGCCTGTACGTTTATTCTGTTGCTACTTTCTGTAAGTTAAGTTAGGCCCCCCTTCTACTGCAAGTGTAAGTAACAATGATCGCTACTTGCAATGATTACATGGGAAAGGTTCTGTCCTCAACCAATGCTGTGGAAATTCACCCCGAGTCTTTGGGGCTTGTTTTATTTACTTGAACCCTATTCACAATTCTGTTTGCTCACAGGTAAATGAGGAATAATAATGTTCGCCTACAATAGGTGCTGTGTAGATAAAATGATTAAAATGGTTGTGTGTCCCTTCAATGAAAAATGCTACAGAGCTACAAAACATTACCGTTGCAATATGCTTCACTGTCACAACTTGCCTCTTATTTAACAGTTATTGCAAACTATAAATAAAAATGAGCTGTAAATACACAGTTAGAAAATAGAAATCCTAAAATGAGTGAAAATGACGGTTTGATGCTACTGCCGTAGATAGAAAAGTTGATTTTCCGACACATGACCAATAGGATGCTCAGACCCCACTAAATTTGTCTGGAAGTGCTAGCCTATAAGAGAAAGCTTCATGGGACTGAGCCCTGCCTTATGAATGAATAAACAGAACTTGAGAAAGATGCAAAACTCATGGCCCTCCAACTGATGAAAGATGCTGACGATCTGACTAAATGCACTTGTTATGATGAGCAGGAACTTTCTGTAGAGAATTTTTAATGCTAAAGAAAACAAACAGAAAGGAAAACCTTGTGCCAAATTTGTTGGGTTTATGATCTTATCTATCTAGCTTAATAAAATACACTATCTTGGAAGATGGAGGTTTCTGCCTGCATTTCATTAAGCCTAATTTATCCATAATAAATCAAGTAAAAATGACTTTTTTTTTTTAAGATGCTTTACACAAGACAATGCTTTGCCTCAGGGACAAAATAATAAAAAAAAATTAATGGTTTCCTAAGCAGACTACATTTAATATAATTAATTTCCTCACAGGGAGTCTCAATACAGTGATCACTAGGGAAAAGGAACTACTGCGATCTCTACATAGGCATCTTTTTTCTAGGCAAATAACTACTGATGGTTTTGTTACTGTGTTGTTTAGCCCTTCTCAGAACAGATCCAAACCAGCCACTGTTAATGGCTTATTATTGTAGTATTATTATGGTAGCACCTCTAAGACACAGATCAGAAATCTGTTGCAATAGCTGTTGAAAATATATGTAAAAAAAAAAATTATCCCCAATTTCTCCCCTCCTCTCAATTTACAATCAAAGTGTAAACTGAGAAATTACATGCAGATACAGTCAGAAAACACAAGAAAACAATATGAACGTACTGATCAGCACATAATCAACTTCACACTTACGGAGTCCTTTGGTAAGCATCATAGCAAAAGAAACAACAAATATAAAGAAAGGAGTAGAACAGATGTATATATCTCATGGGAAGCAGCACAGTAAAAACATTAAAAATTCAGCTATAATGTCCTAGAAACATCACACGTCAATCTGAGATGGGAGCAGGCCTCAATTTACAAAAGGGGGGGCGGGGGGAAGCAGTGAGTAGAACATGTAAGCTGTGGGAAGTAAAGATGGCACAACAAAAGAGCCAATATGTGCAAAGTATGATCAAGCTTTGAACAAAAAAAATTATTTTACAGAAACATTTGGTACAGATATCTGCAGGACCAATTTGGATTTTAAGACTGAAATGAAAAAACAGCAGTAGTTACCAGAAGAAAAAAATCAGTATCAAGAGAATTCTGCACACTTGCCATTACAGACAACATCTGAGAAACTATTCTCAATTCAAAGCATTATCAAAAATAAAATAAAACATACACATAGTAGGCTGTTTCAAAAATTGTGAGCACCCTCTGGTGCTGTCATGGGGGGGGGGGGGGGGGAAGAGCAAGCAACAACCAGAAAATAGCATCTACTAATGCTGTGCAATTCTGAGGATTTCTACTTACTCACACTTTCAAGACGAGCGAACTGAACACACAGTCTTAGTCCCGAGTTTTCAAGCACATACAGGACAGAGGTAAGTAAATGGAAAGGCCGCAAGTATTTTGGTAACTCCATCACCAAAAACTGGCACCAAATTATACTGAGATAGAACCCAAATCTTTATGTTGCCAAAAAAGTATAAGAAAACAAAGGTAGTTTTGGTTTTAAGTTGCCTTTTGAATTTAAACTATTAGACTCATATTTTATATCACTCTTTGCAACCACTGAGTTTAGAAATTTGGTCTTGATTTTAAATCAAAGCTGAGAGTCTCGTTTATTCCTAAACTCATTTTTTGAATTGACAACAAAAGAGTCGACATAAATTGACTGAACAAAATTGCAAGCAATGGCCACACTGTTACTTAGATAGCAGAGCCTACCATATCATAAGAGAGAGTCTCTGCATCAGTGTTTGTCTAAGCAGATCAAACAGAAGGTGGAAGTATTATCACCATTTCACAGGTAGGAAAATCTTTTAAAAGTCAGAGGAAGCAGTCATTCCCAGAGGTCTGAGTCAAACAAGTTCTAGCCTGGTGCTTTACTCTCAAGAACATCCCAAGCTACCTTACCACCCTTAAGGATAGAGAAGAATAAGCATTTCTTAACTGCTTTAGGTGGGACTTTAAGACGGCTGTCTCAATTCTTATTTATCGTTGTAACCGCAGCGTTGTCTCCCTTGCCGCATGCTGCTCAGGGACACTCCGCAGCCTGGAGCCTCCCACAGCCACAGCCTAGGCGGACTCCCAAAGCTGACACAGGGGACCATCAACATTTTTAAATTAGTGAGACAAGTACCTCAAAAATTAAGGCAAATACAAATTTTAAACTGCCTCTATTTCAACAGCTTTGTTTTTTGACACTTTAAAGTGCATGTTTTTTTTTTCTCTGCTGCACCTGACACTCTTCTTTGTTAACGACTATTTTTTTCCTGTAAACCACCCAATTCTAGAAGCCGAGATTTTATAAAAGTATCAAATGGTTCAAAACCGGAGGCCGCTTGCAAAACTGCTTTTGTTGATCGCTATGTAGATGCCGTGACGGTACCTCCTCAGCCACCACACCCGGGGGTCCCTGCGGCTCTCCGCCGGACTCCGTCCTCCGGCGGCAGCGGGC